GGGGGGGGGCGGCCAGCTTTACGAGCTTCACCGTCTGTACAAAACCCAGAAGATTCTGATGAAGGGCACGAGAAAGCAGAAAAGGGCGATTAGAGAGAGCGGCGGCGGCGGCGGCGGAGACGAGAGCGAGCTGGAGCTGACTTTAGGCCCGTCGTGCTACCATCGGAGAAGCGGGAAGAATACGCCCTTTTCTTCTTCTTCTTCTTCGTCTTTTTCTTTTTCTTCGACGGAGGAGCTGAAATGGGGCGTTGATGAGTTGCCGGAAGCGTTTGACCGGAGCTTCCACGGCGGGGGGCAGAATCGTCCGAATGTGGAAGATGTGCAGCAGTTCGGATCGAACAATTCGCCGTGGCATTTCCAGGCTTTGAGTCTCAATATGACTTCTTGATGATGATGATTATTCAAATTCGTTTCATTTGTCACTCGGGCGATTGTTTTTAATTACTGCTGCTAGTTTTTTTAACATCTCGCCTATGTGAGATGGATCTATCCTTTTAATGTGTTTAGCGGAAATGAGAGATGGAGAATTGAAGAACATGAAAATAGTTTCTGAAATCTCATGACTTTTTTTTTGTTTTTAATAATACTATTTCTACACCACACAAATGTACCACACTTTCCACACAAATGTACCACACTTTTCTCTTGACATTTTATGTTAGTGCATGTCTATTAGTGCTTTGTCAAGAGTATAAAGTGATGTACATTTATAGTGTACAAGTAGTACAACCCATTTTTTTTTGGATTGGAGTCCAAATGACTTCCATATCATTCATGTCCAATTCTTTGGGGGAATAGCCATTCAACTGTATATGTCTTATGTACAACACACCATCGGTTACAAACATGATTAGTTCCACCAACAACACTTGTTGGTAAAAATAAAATGATCACACCAAAAAGTATAATGGGTGAAATGTATTTTGATGTATACCATGATATAACTCATGATTGTTAGTTCCATGGTGTTGGCTAATCTTTTGGCAAAATAGAATTTCATATTTGTTAGATGTTTTGCTAAGTAGAAACCTCTATTTGTTAGGAGAGGTTTATTTTATTTAGACTTCTAGAGCTGCTGCAGTTTTCAAGGTTGACGCAGAAGATGCTACGACACGATGCTGCAACACAGTGTGCGGGATCAGAGGTCTGAGCACGAGATTTTAAGCTGCAATCTGAATTAGAGACCTATTGGGATTGTGATTACATGATAATAACTCCAGCTGTACATGCTAACGAATCCCAACTCTTTAGGCTACTTGTGGATCAAGATTAAGGAAGTAGAGTTCAAGCCAATTTCTACTATCCTATTCCTACTAGGATTGTGTTAAGAGGAGTCTATAAAAATGCAGCTGGTTCCTGGGAATTACTTGGAGCGATTGAGAGAGAAAACAAAGAATATACGCTGATGTAGAGCATTCCCTTCGCGTCCCGGAGCTTCCCATACGTGAAGAAGGTTACGATCTACATGAAGGAGGAGATCTTCAACGTCGAACAGATCGTGACAACCAGGAGATGAACCAGAGCTTAAGGAGAGGGCTGCCAACACGTTTGTCCTCGTGATCTCGGTGGAGATGTGATAGCCGAAGCGGATCTGAATAGAGTTCGGGTTAGAAATCCTAGATTAGAAGTTTTGTCATAACAATTCGGAGAAGTGTGTCTCATCATGTTGTTATGTACCGGTGTAACTTGCATCTAGTGATTTAGTGGAGGGCTATTACACGGACGTGGGCCCCGCAGACTAGGAGAATTTGCTCCGAACTGCGTAAACATATCTGGTGTTATTTTTTACGCTTTTTACAGTTACAGCATTCTGCCCAGTAGGCGCAGTAACGCTCTCTGCATCATCTGCTTCTGTGTGTGCTTGTGACAGAGAAGTGTTATAGCACACTGTCCGTCATCTGTTACTGTGACAGTGCTGCAGCGTCTTCTCTGCAGCATAGCTGGTTGATTTGTTTGCATTGCTCTTAATTGGTGATTTCCGCTGCGCCCCCACGAACTTACAATGATGTGTTGAGAATGTATTCTATTATTGATCATTGAGAAGAGAAGTACATGATGTATATATAAACACACCAAGAGTCTTAAATATAAGTAACTACTACTTCTCGGAGATAATAGGAATAATAAAGAGATAAAAATACGAGATGAATAATTAGTCGATAATTAGTAACTAACTAATCGATCTCTATGAGGTAGAACTCTTGATACACCACCACACGATGGTGGTACCATCGGAAACTCCAATCTTGGATAACAACCAAAGATATGAGGATTTGGGACGTGGTTTAATTTGGTGAGTGTGTCACTAATTTGATAGAACGAACATGGCATGGGCCAAAGCACGATATTCGGCCTCCGTGGATGACCGTGAAACAGACTTTTGACGGGTTGATTTCCATGACACAATGTTGTTACTACATAGAGAGCATATGACTTCTTGGAACGACCTCCATCCATAGTGCCGCCCTAGTAAGAACTTAAGAAGACCAAAAGTGTCAAGGGGACATGAGAGCAGAGGAAGAGGTTGTGGTTGAAAGTTCAAACTAGGGGACATGCGGCTTTGGCTTGAACATCAATGTAGCATAGTTGTTATAAACTCTACTGCCAAAGGAAGATTTTGCAGCTTTGGCTTGAACATCAATGTAGCATAGCTTATTTGATTTATTTTAGGTAGAAACCAAGTATAAAAACTTAAAAACCACGTGGTTTAGGTGAAAACCACGAATCGCCAAGTTAAAAGTGGTTTTTATGGTTTTCTACCAAAGACCAAAAACCAAAGATGGTGTTATGAAGTTTTTGTTGGAAAACCATTTAAATATTTCCAGAAGTAAAAAAAATCTTAAAAAGTTAAAACCCACTTGGTTGATTCGGATGCTGGAAACAAACATCGAACGCCGATCATTGTGGTTTTGGTTTAGGTAACAACCAAATGTTTTTGGCAACCAAAATCATTTGTTAAATTTGTTTTGGTGATGCATAAAAATGATTTCATGATTTTGAAAGACTTGGTTTAGATTTTGAGAACCATGACTTGAAAATGAATGCTGGTCTTGATCACAATAAGACCAACTTAATCCTAAGTCTAAGTCTTCGTCTTGATATTTGTTCTTGATGCTTTTGGGTCCTCGCCAAGCTTGGTTTTATGACTTGAGATCTTCAATGAACCTTTTTTATATCCACGGTGGTTTGGAATTTATCAAAACCTGTCAAAAACCAAATATCACTTTAGCACAATGTTATTGTAAAGTGTGTTCCAACACCAAGCAACCAGCCATCCATTGCAAATGGATCTTTCGTATTAAACGAAAGCCAGATGGTTGTCTAGATCGATACAAAGCATGGCTTGTTTCCAAGGATTTTCTTCAAAAGCCTGGACATGATTACTTTTATACTTTTAGTCTCGTTACCAAACCTATTACCATTCATCTTATTCTCACGATTGCTTTGTCTCAAAGGTGGCCTCTTAGTCATTTGGATATTAATAATGCATTTTTAACGTGACTTTACACGAGGAGGTTTATATGGAGCAGCCATCTGGCAACTGTAACTCTACTTACACGAATTATGTGTTTATGATTTGCAAGGCTCTTTATGGTCTCAAACAGGCTTCTCGTGCCTAGTATCTTAAGCTCATAGGTTTTCTCCTGCATGCTAGTTTTCAGAAATCGATGGGTGATGCGTCTCTCTTTGTTTACTTCAAGGGTCTATGGTTATGTATTTTATGGTGTATTTGGGTGATATTATTCTCACATACATCCATTATAAGGTCATTAATGTTTTTTCTGTTGTTTGGCTCATCGCTTTTCTCTAAGAGATTTGGGGTCTCTTCATGATTTTCTTGGGGTTGAAGTGATCTCCATTTGCGGGGGTGTATTTCTCTCTCAGCTCCAAGATATTTCTGATATTCTTTAGCGGTTTAACATGCTTGATGCGAAGGCGATCTCTACGCCTATGAGTGCCACAACGTCCCTATACTTGGGCGATGGCACGCCTCCTGCTGATGTGATATCATGCAGGCAACTCATTGGCTATCTTAAGTATCTTACTGTCACTCGTCCTGAATTGGCTTTTGCCGTGAATAAACTCTCTCATTATATGCATGATCCATCTACCACACATTGGCAGGATAAACAACATGTCTTACGCTATCTGCAAGGCACACTTTCACATGGGTTGTTTCTTTGAGAGGGTGTACCTTTTACTTTTTCTATTTTTTCTGATTCCAAATGGGGAGGTGTTCATGATAGTGGTCGCTCTACTATTGCATATGTTATCTATCTTAGCTCTAGTGTTGTCTTATGGAAATCTACTCGTCATAAATCTCTCTCTCATTCCTCTACAGAAGCTGAATATAGTGCTTTTGCTCATGCTACAGTTGAGACACTTTAGTTTCAAACTTTACTTGCTGAACCTAGATTCAAGCTTCGTGTACCATCCAACTTGTATCGTGATAATCTTGGCACTACTCGTGTTTGTAAAAATCATGTGTTCCATTTCCGCATGAGGAATCTTGCTTTGGATTATTTCTTTGTTCGTGAGCTTGTGGCATCTAACACTCTTCGTGTTCATTACATTGCCTTCGATGATCAAACTGCTGACTTACTCACGAAACCTCTGCCAGCCTTTATGTTTCTACGACTAGATTCTAAGCTTGGTGTCTCTAATGGTACACCAATCTTGTAGGGGCGTATTAGTCCTACTATATAATATTGTTATTAATATTTATCTTAGTGTAAATATTATCTCCTAATTTTCCTTAACCCGTGGGTTGTTAGCCTATAGACAATACTAAAAATTAGTATTTAGTTCATTTTATTCAATAGTAATGTCTTTGACTTGGAAACAAACTCTATCATGTTATTGCTTTACTATTTAATGTGTATTAGTCTCTCTCTAATATCATTGAAGCATTCTTCCAATATTACGTTTCTATACGTTTGATAGCTTGCCAGTGTTCACTACTATAAAAAAGAGCAAATCGACTACCCATTTTCATCGGTTTACAAAAAACTGATGCAAATGAGGCAGTCCATTTTCACCCAACACTTCTTTTTGCATCGATTATTACTAATTACCAGTTTAATTACCTAGTGTATCGATTATTAGTAATAATCGATATGAAATCCTAAGCTTTATTGCATCAGTTATAAGTAATAATCGATACAATAGTAATTTACATTCGTTATTTGTAATAATTGATAAAACATGATTTATTAAGATAAGCTTTCCTCTCTCTCGCGTTGTTTGTCATTTTCAACCTTTTCTCATCCATCATTCGTCGCCATCGTCCTCAAGCTTTCCTCCTTCGTCATTCATCGATGTACCTTATTTTTACCTCATTTTCATCGTCGTTTGTCGCCGTTGTTTGTCCTCAAGCTTTTCTCCTTTGTCGTTCATCGTTGTCACCTGCCTCCCACCGTGGCGCCACTTATTTTTGATCGTACCGCCTCTTCCACTGGTTGTGTTGCCTCCCACCGCCGCCGGAGCCTAACTGTCGCCTCCTTTACGCCACCAAGCCACATATCTTGTTTTCTCAAGGTAATTTCTATTTCTTTATCTAAAATCTTGAATTTTAATTTTATTTGCTTTAATGTTTGTACATCGATAGAGAATGTGATATTGAAGTTAATTTTTGATATAGTAATTTGACTTAGTAAATACTTGAATTACTTTTGTATTTGTTGCATGAAGTGTATTAAAGTCATTGTAAAATTGAATTAGTTTGTGCATTAGTAGAGAATGTGAGATTGTGATATTATTGAAGTCAAATTTTAATTGCATAA